CCTGCGGCGGTCTGGGTCTCGGATGTGGCTTGGCTGGTGGAGAGCACGGGCTGGGATCTGCGCGCTGCTGCGGGCGCTGGGAGGGTGACCGCCGGAGGAGGCGGCTCCCACCTCAACCTGATTTTCTTTCTCAGGTCATGTAGAAGAGCGGGTTTAATGTGAAGATGGGACTGTTGGTGTTTATGCGCAACCTGCTGCTCGCCCTCTGCCTGTTTCTGGTGCTGGGCTTTCTGTACTATTCTGCTTGGAAGCTGCACCTTCTCCGATGGGAGGATTCAAGTGAGTATGAGCTCTGGGCGGCCCTTTCTGTAGAACAGTAGCTGCCTGTTAAATAGTTGCGATGGTGCTGAGGTGGTTCTGGTTTAGCGGCATTAGAAGGATGTGATTAAGCTAAATCAAATGCTGGAGCTTTTAGTGTGCTTAAGGGGTTGAATCTGTGATTACCTAATGCTGTGTGTGGCTTTGCTTTTATTACTGGGTTCACGCTCGATAAATCTAGTGTTAGAGACTCCAGTTCTTAGAATATTCGATGTTACTTTATGATTCCTAACTATCAAAATAAAGAGTTTGTGTGCTGAGGCTTTTGTTCCCTGAATCTTTCTGTACATTTAAAAATATCTAAGACAAGGGTTTTTTTCTCTGATGGATTTTGATTTCATTTTGTAATCATATATACTGATGATCTTACTTTGTCCTTCAGAAATCCTCATCTTCTATTTATCTTCCATTTATTATCTGCCAACTATCTGTCATCTCAAACAATGTCTCTCAAAGTTTTTAAGTCCAAAGAGACATCTGACCTCTTTGAATGCAATCTGAGGATTGCACTGCGTTGGTAATGCCATAGGAGGGTTTAGTTGCAATGAGATATAAATTAGGCTGAGGTTTGATTGCTCAGTTACTGCTCTTATTTTTGCTTGTGTTCATTGCTTTCTTGCTTGCATGTGAGAATTGTTTATTGAAAATATAAAAGCAAGAAAACAATTCCCTCCTCTCCTCCTCCTGCCCAAACACAAGCCAGCCTTCTCTGCAGCCGTTCCACGGGCTCTTTCAGATGTCTCACAGCCGACCGCTGCTCCTTGGATCAGCAGCTAAGAAATGCTGGTCCAGAAGGATTGTTTCTCTGTCCGACAAAAAGCCATCAGTCAATTTCCATCTTTGCTGTGTTACCTTTCTGTGCATGCTGCTGGAGGTTTCTACTGTAACGCTTATTAAACTTCAAGTTTTTCTACCTCCTCATGCTCCATATCTGTTGTTATGTGCTCTAAGAAGTTTTGCATGATGACAGATGATGACAGATGACTTGGATATGACATTTGCACTGATGCAGTGATTTTGACAGGAGGACTGTTCAGGTATCTTATACTACAACAGGTGATGGAAGACTGAATTTGTAAAAGGAGATGTGTAATGTCTTTCTGAGCAGGGATTGTTTCTTCAGGTTTGTGCTTCAGAGAGGGAGTCAAAAATCTTGATTGTGACCTTCTGAAAACTAGCACTTCTGTTCGGGGATATAGAAAATCCTTCCTGTATGAAAACAAGTACAGAATGTAGTTAAAAAAACAGCTTTGCAGTATCTGATCTACCACATGATGATCTGTTCTGAAATTATACCATCTGCCATCCGTTACTGCCTGCATACCACCAGAAATTGTGTTGGGACTTCCCAAAGGCCTGCAAAAAACCCTTCAGGCCACAACTTGTACATGAACTTTGTTAAATGTGGAGGAGAAGCTTTGTGTTTATGGGCCATATAGGAAGGTGCTGGGGTCGGTGCTAAATTTCTTCAGGTTTCGCCTCTTTGCATTTTGTGCCCTTAGTTTTGTGTGCTACGTGTTCTTTTACACCATGTTAGTCCCTGGAGAGTTTTGTGGTAACTGTGCCTTATCACGCAGTGTTGCAAATCTATATGCAAACATTGGAGATTTCTAGAAACAGAACACTTTTACCTGGAAAGATGACTTCAAGTTGCACCCAAATTAGAGTAATTTCTGTGGAGTGTACTGGCTGCTTTCGGGTACCCAGGATGTTCTGACAGGAGCACTGTGAGGGTGATGTCAGAGACTTTTTTGTTAGGTGTGTGTCTTCATTTTTTCTAATCTTGTGTGTAAAATGTGTTCTTCATTTATTCCTGGAAGTTGCAGTGCTTGCATTAAGCTTCCTCAGTGTGTACAAAGCAATGACACTAGTTTGAAGATTTAGCTTACTGATCTTGTACAGACTGTATTAACTGCGACAGCTGATACACTGTTCCTTTGTCTTCTAGGCACTTTTATGGATCGTGTCTTAAATATCGGATGAAACTCCTTGCAATATTAGTGTAAACAGCCATCTAGTGTAAGAGGGCAAAGTTTTAGGTGATTACTTTTGAAAACAGTTAAGGTGGTACCAGTTTTCAGTTGATTTTCAGATTCCTGTATGTATCAAAAAATGGTTTATTTACCATGTAATTTTGCACATGAGGAATTTATGCAGATTTAAAATACAAATTTAAAAGCCAGTATTGGCAAACTTGATATGAAGAGTTAATGTTAAGCTTCTTTAAATAAGTGCTTGGAGGTTAACAAATGACAGAATTGAAGTTGCTCATTTAACCATGATTAGGCTTCCTTGAGCATGTGTAATATGATACAATGTATAATGGTGCAATTATACTTTCTGTTTTCTGAAGGGGAGCCTTGCTTAGTTCAGTGCACAAGACAGGTGGTGCTTGATAGCTGCTTGTGGTTTTATTTCCTGAATTACAATTTGGTGTGTGACCTTGTAAATCTCCTTAAGATTGATACGATAATGCTGACGCCCCCAAGGACAAAACGAAGCTAGATGTGTGATTTTACTCTGAGGGTGCTGAGGCCCTGGCACAGGTTGTCCAGAGAAGCTGTGGGTGCCCCCTCCCTGGCAGTGTTCAAGCCCAGGCTGGATGGGGCTTTGAGCAGCCTGGGCTGGTGGGAGGTGTCCCTGCCCATGGCAGGGGGGTTGGAACTGGATGGTCTGTAAGGTCCTTTCCAACCCAAACCATTCTATGATTCTATGTGTTAATTTTGGGGTGCTTAATAACCTAAGATTATTGATTTTATGTGTCAGTTATATTCTTACTAAAATATTTTCTCTTATGATCAGTGTCTTTATTCTGTGTAATAGTGTCTCCCTATCTTCAGTAGTCACATTCTTTTCTGTTCCATTCTTTGTGCTAGAGGAGGCATGAAACTAAGCCGATCCTGACATCTGACACCCTTGCAATCTCTTCAGAGGCTGGTTTTAGTAAACTTGACACCTGTGTTTAATAGCAGACTCAAACAAATTTGCCATGGAGTATGGTGAAAAACACTTCATCTGTTTATTTGCTGCCTCTGCGGTTTGTTCATGTAATGTTTTAGAAAATGCCTGTGTATGTTGTTGTCATGGATGATTGAGTGGTTACCCTGTAAGGAATCTAGTCACACTGAGACTTCCATGTTTGTATATTTAGCTGCTAAAGTAAATGAACAGTTAAAGTAATTTGTTTATTTGTGCTTCTGACACCTCCAAGAAAGGAGGCTAAAATTCTGAATAGACTGAAAGATACATGTCAACATTTCTCTTACCATTTATATTTGACTTTAAATCTGTCCTTCTTGAGTGATGCCATGGTGAGTTCTGAGAGATTGTTCTCCTTGCACCTTGCCAAAATACAAAGGAGCATAGGAGAGAATTAATTCCCTAGGGCTTATCTATCCTGTGATAAGAATAGATTGAATTCAGCTAATATTAACTAATTAAGGTTGAATGAAGTTCAATTGCTTCTTCCATTCAAGACAAACCTCCAGTGACTGCTACCCTTCTCTCATCCTTTTAGTGAGTATCACGGCTGGCTACTCTTCCCCAAGCCTTGTTTCATGTCAGTGGCAATAGATTGTTAGTTCTCAGAGCAGTAGGAAAGTGCAGCGAAGTGGTGTGTAGCACAGCGAATGCAGGAGAGTCTTCTGAGTTCTGGTCTTTGTCGGGAATGTATGAGCGATGTTTAGGATAGAGGTAAGCTTTCCTTCTTCTTTTTGCTTTCCTGATTTCTGTAATGCAGCTTCAGTCTCTGATGGTAGTGGTAAGAGACGTACACTGTCCTTGCACGTTCTTCCCAGACAGGCAATAATGACGGATACCGCAGCCCTCTGATTAAGAGCGTTGAGTTGCATGGAGGTGTGCTAAGCACGTAGAACTGGTAGTGTGATGTGGGAGACAAACAAGGAAATAAGAAGTTTGGTGTCAGGTTTAGCTGTCCTGTACGTGCTAGAAGGACCTTGCAGCAGCAGGTAATCGTAACTCTGTTCATTGTATTTCTGGACACTGAGTTGTCAGGGAATTCTTATATAGTAATGGTAGTGATAGGAGCAGGTTTTGAAGGTCTGGGACATGCACTGCAGCCTTTTTCCTTCCTCTCCTATCCCTTCCACCTTCCCTGATGCATTTGGCTCTGAGGAGGAAGGAGGATGTTGTCTGCACGAGTGTGAAGAAGACAGCATGTGGGAAGGTGCCCCATTATCTCTGAAAAGTACGAAGGGAGATGGAGTCTTGCTGACAGTGCCTCTTAGATTGGCTTTGTCAGCTTGGAGGCATGCATTTTTAGCCATAACTGAAGGACAGAATATAGTCATGTTAAAATTTAATACTGGTGTTTGTTACTTCACCTGGTATGTGTATAGCTGATTTTGCAACTTAAAAATGACTGTGTTATAAGGAAGGAATGATTCCATTAAAAAATGTCCTGGCTATGGAAATATTGGACTCATTCCCCCAAGGCAGCTTTCTTCTTTTTTTTTTTTTTTTCCTCCCTCTGAAAGCATTGAAATATACTTGGGACAAGGACAGTGTGACGCTATTTTCCTGTTCTCTACTGTATTTCTATCTACATTAGCATTTAATTGATTTAAAGAAATATATACTCTACTCCAGGTACTTTTGCCAAAACCTAAGTTAATACAACTTGTAGCTATAGATTTTGAGCTTGTCAGTTTGAATGTGGCTTTTGAAACATCTCCAGATATGTTCTGTTGATGTCTCCATAAAGAAATCGAGTCACTACTCTGTCATCTGTTGCTCCATGTTATTTTCAACTCTAATTCTCAAAAGGCAGACAAAGAGATAAAGCTATGGGAAGAGATTTTCTGAAGGTATTTCAGGACTCTTATACTTTTTATTCTTCTTTTTTTTTTCCTAATGTCTATTTCCATGGGAACTGAGGAGACATAAACAGGCAAAACTGACTCACTTCTGGTTGCAGGTTTTTAGTCTGCATTTCCATGGAA